GCGTCAGGGACCCTCGGCACCGGGACTCCCCCGCACCTGGCAGCACCGACAGCCCCCTCACGCTCCAGCCCCACGGCAGAACCACGGAGCGCCGAGAGGCGCCGGGACCCCCCGGGACAGCCCCGGGGAAGCGCGGTCTATGCCGAGCCGTGCCGGGCGGTGTCGCCAGGACCACGGTCTCCACGGGGCCACCGCGGCGAAGGGACGGGCAGGGAGCCGTCGTGATGACCGGTCCGGCACCGGGACGGCCGCGGGGGCCCCGAGAACTCGCCCGTGGGACTCCCCTGCCGGTGCCGCCGCAGCCGGTGCGGGTACGAGCAGAACCAGACCGAAGCCGTACGGGACAAGACCGCACCGGCACCGGGGCAGCGGCCGGGCCCGCTCCGTTTCCGGGAGCGGCTGCCGAGGTTCAGCCGGGCCGGCAGCCCCGCGGGGCCTGTGCCGGTCGCAGCCCCTCGGTGCCAGGAGCGCTCCCGCGGGAGCGGGACGGAGGGCGCTGGCAGTGGCGGGGATGGCTCCGTGATCCTGCGCCCGCCACACCAGCACCTCCGCCATCCCGGCACCTCCGCCATCCCGCCTCCATCATCCCGGCACCTCCGTGATCCCGCCCCCGCCATCCCGGCACCTCCGCCATCCCGCTGCCTCCGCCATCCCGGCACCTCCGTGATCCTGCCTCCGGCATCCCGGCACCTCCGCGATCCCGGCAACTCCGCGATCCCACCTCCGCCCCGGCCCCGCCGCAGCCGTGACACCGGCTCGGGCTCGTTCCCGCGGGAGCCGGCAGCACCGGGCGTTTGCCGAGGCCGAGGCGCCATTTGCAGAAGCTCCGAACCCGGCAGAGCCACCGGCCCCGGCATCGCCGGTGTCACCGACATCGCCGGTATCACCGACATCGCCGGTCCCGGCCCTCCTGGTATCCCCGGACCCCGACATCACCGGCGCCGGCATCACCGGCGCCCCCGGCATCACCGCACCGGCACCCCCGGCAGTGGGGGGGCAGGCGGGGGGTGGGCGTGGGGAAAAGGTGGGGGGCAGGTGGGGGGAGCAGGTGAGGGGCGGGCTTGGTGCGGGTGTGGGGGGCAGGTGTGGGGGGCGGGTGTGGGGGGCGGGTGAGAGGGGCGGGTGAGAGGGGCGGGTGTGGGGGGCAGGTGAGGGGCGGGCGTGGGGGGGTAGGTGAGGGGCGAGAGGAGGGGGCAGGTGGGCGCCGGGAGGGGGGGGCAGGTGAGAGGCGGGCGTGGGGGGCAGCGCGGCGCGCGCCGGTGCCAAGCCTGAGTCACCGGCTCCATCGCCCACGTACCCCTCGCAGCCCCCCCCCGGGCCTGACGCGCCGCCTCCCCCCACCCACAGGGGCACCCATAGGGACCCCGCCGCCCCCTCGAGCTCTCCCCGCCCCCGGGGACTGGAGCCTCAGCCTCCGAACGCCCCTCGCACCCCCAGCACAGCCCCCCCTGCACCCCACGGCCCCAGAACGACCCTCCACGCCGCATCCCCCAGCCCCCACGGCTCCTGCAGCCCCCCCACTCCTGCCCTGCAGCATCCCCGCAGCCCCCTCCCGGAGCCCCCACGCCGCTCGCGGCCCCACGGGGGGTGGGCCAGGAGGGTTCCACGCGCGGGGACTCACCGTGCGCCGCGATGTCCGCCGGGGCGCGACGGGGGAGCATGACCGGGGGGAAACGGCACCGGCGGTGATTCCGGGGGGGATGCGGCACCGGGGGGGAGGAACAGCGGCACCGGTACCGCGGAGGCTCCCGGGGGTGAACGGCCCCGGGGGCTCCGCCCGCACCGGCACCGGCTCGGGCTCCGCGGCAGGGGCGGGGCGGGGGGCGGGGAGCGGGGGGGGCCTTATCTCACCGCCCCACCCTCCGCACCCAGCGCACCCCGCGGGAGGGGGCACCCCCATGGGGCACCTGGTGCGGGAAGGGTTAACCCCGACCAGCGCACCCAGCGTCGGGGGTAACCCCGACCAGTGCTCCCAGTACAGCCCAGTATGGAAAGGGCTAACCTCGACCAATGCTCCCAGTACAGTCAGCACCAGGGGTAACCCTGACCAGTGCTCCCAGTACAGCCAGCAACAGGGGCCGATCCTGACCAGTGCTCCCAGTACAGCCAGGATGGCACAGGTTAGCTGTGACCACTGCACCCAATATGGAGAGGGTTAACTGTGACCAGTACACCCAGTATGGAGAGGGTTAACCATCACCACTGCAACCACTGAGAGAGGGTGAACCCCACCCAGTGTTCCCAGCAAAGCTGGTCCCATCCCACGCTCCCACAAGAGGGTCCCACAGCCCCTTGGCACTCCAGCACTCCTGGTGCTCCCGGCACTGCTCAGGGACACCCAGGACATCCCACCCAGGAGGCACCGCAGGAGGACCAGCTCCAGCCCCCCACCAGCTCCAGCTGGGCACACAGGTGTGTGCACATCACCAGCACATCACCAGGACACTGCAGGCACACCACTGGCACATCACTGGGACACCATGGGCACATCAGTGGCACATCAGTGGCACACCAGCCTGGGCAGCATCACGTTTGCACGTGGGACAGGCCACCTCCAGCTGCTGCATCCAGAGCCCCAGCAGAGCCCCTGTGGCAGAGGGAAGAGACAGGAGCCCTGGAATGGGCCTGGCACAGCTCTGGCAGGGCCCTGGCACAGCTCGGGCATGGCTCCAGCATGGTGCTCACAACCTTGCTGGCCACTGGCCTTTCCCTGGCCACAAGACAAAGCTCGGCTCCAGCCACTGGTGCTGTAGGAGGGACCTGGCCTGGCAGCTGGGGAGGTCTTGGGAGCCAGGGGGACCCTGGGTGGATGGGGAGCTGGGAACAGGGCCGGTGCTGGAAACCAGTGTCAGGAGCCAGAGCCAGTGCCTTGATCCAGAGGTAGTGCTGGGAACTGGAGTTGGAGTTGGGAACTGGTGCTGGGAACTAGAACCAGTGCCAGGAAATGGAGCTGATGCCTTGAACCAGAACCTATGCCGTGAACCAAAGCTACTGCTTGTAGCCAGTGACAGGGACCAGAGCTGGAGCCGGGAACCAAAGCTGGTGCTGAGAACCAGAGGTGGTACCAGGAACTGGAGCCAGTACCAGGAACCAGATCCAGTGTTGGGAGCCAGAGCTGCTCTGGGAACTGGAGCCGGTGCTGAGAACTGGAGCTGGTGCTGCCTGCTGGCCCCAGCCCTGTGGTGCCCAGGAGCCCTGCAGTGCCAGTGCCACAGAACAGAGTCAGCAGCACGGATGGGTGTGGGTGCCCATGCAGATGTGTGCACTCTCCTGCAGGTACACACCTGTGCAAACATCCATGCACCAACCTGCGTGTGTGCACAGGCACTCACACACACCCCCACACCCCAAATGTGCACGCACCCATCTGCCCCACCCATGGTACACACAAGTCATGCACGTGCATGAATGCACATATGTGTGTGCACACGTGTCTGCCCAAGCGTGCACTCACAGGTGTGAACATGGGTGAACAAGCATGTGCCCAGCCCTGCCCGCCTGTAGGCACACATGGCACACACCAGCACAAACACAGCTGTGTGCACACGCACAGGAACACATGTGCACACACGCGCACACACACATATATGTGGGGGGGGCTCGGGGGCTTCGATGCCTCCTGGTGCCTCCCAGTGCCTCCTGGTGCCTCCCTCCACACCCAGCCGCTGGTGCGGCATCGCACGGTTCAGCCGTCCCAGCCCCCCGTGAGCCACATCGGGGGCAGCGCCGAAGGGCCCCGGCACAGCCGCACCCACCGAGGACTCCAGACTGGGGTGGCGTGAAGACCCCCGGGGACCCCAGACCCGGGGAGCGCAATGTGGCACCTGCTGTGCCGAGGTCAGGGTCCCCCTCCAGCTCGACAGGACCCCAGCTCAGCCCCCCCAACCCGCTCTCGCTGCGGCCGTACCGGGGCTGCCGCTCGCTCCCTCCGTCCGGATCCGGTGCTGGCGCAGCCGCTCTCGCCGCGGTCATGTGCCGGTGCAGGCACGGGCGCAGGGAGCGAATCCCCCGGCCAGAGCCGGACAAAGGGCCCCTTTCAGTCCCGCTGGGCCCCGCGGGCCCCTCGGCGCCAAGGGACAAAGGTCCGGCACGCTTGGCACCGGCAGCGCCGGGCGCTCCCCGCCCGGGTCACCCGCGGGGCGGGGGGCACTGGGCCCTACCTGGGGGTGGGTGCGTGGCCAGGACCCCTTCTGTGCTCCCCGTCCCTCTCCCCTCTGTGCGCCGGCGGCTCCCCCGGGAGCGGGGCTCGGCGCCACGTGCGCGGGGCTGGCACGGCTGGCACGGTGCCCCCGGGGATCCCAGAGCTGGCACACGTCAGCGGGGCTGGCACACGCCGGCGCGCACACTGCCCTGGAGCCGCCCGTGCCTGCGGGGCCGGAGCCACTGGTGTCACACCCGTGCCCACCCCGTGTGGGCTCCCCAAAGGGGTGTGGGTGCCACCGAGACCCCCAGTCCTGCAATTGCCCACCTGTGACCTGGGGCAACACAGGCACGTGGGGATGCCTGCGGGAGCTGTGCCCCCCCTACCCCCCCATTGCCTGCCTGAGGGTCCCATTCCATGGGCACCAGCACTGCCCACGTTTGCAGGGTGGGCACCCGGGTATCCCCCAGCATAGCTCAGGGCTGGCCTGTGGGACAGAGGAGCAGGCAGGGAGCAGGATGCAGGCAGCAAGTGGGGAGCAGGCAGAAGGCAGAGAAGAGGCAGGATGCAGGAAGGGAGCAGGCAGGATGCAGGGAGCAGGAAGCAGGCAGGGATGCAGGAGGCACCGGGTCCAGCCCTGGGGTGGCCCAGAGTCACCACCTGGCCCAGCCACCCCACGGGGGGACACAGCATCCCCACACAGCCCCAATTCCTAGTGCTCCCAGCTGAGACTGGGACATCACTCACCCCAATCCCAGTGCTCCTAGTTGGGATTGATAACCTCCCCTAATCCAGTGCTCCCAGCCAGGACTGGGACCCCCCCCCACAGTCTCCCCTCAATCCCAGCTATGTAAAAGGCTCCAATTTATTCCCAGTTTTATTTGCAGTTTCATTCCAAATTTCACTGCTGTCACACTGGTGATCCCAAAGTCCTCCTGTCGGGCTCCTGCCCTGGCATAAGGGCATCCAGGAATGTGCCCAGGTGGGGACCCCCCCACTCTGAGACTCCTGAGCAGGGCGGGAATTCCCCTGAGCCCCCATGGCAGGGACTCCTCAAGCACTTGGTGTGGAGGTGGACACTGTAACCCCTGTGGTGGTACTGGTGCCAGGGGGCTCTGGAGGGTCAAGGGGGGACCACATGGCAGAGCTGGAGCTGGACAGCTCAGGAGGTACCCCCTTGGCAGAGCCAGTGCCAGGGGGCTCGAGGGGTGCTCCCACTGCGAGGACAGTGCCAGGAGGGTCAAAGGGGGCCCCTGCGGCAGAGCTGGTGTCGGGGGGGCTCAAGAGGTGCCCCCTTGGCAGAGCCAGTGCCAGGGGGCTCAGGGGGTGCCCCCACGGCAAAGACAGTGCCAGGGGGCTCAGGGAGGTCAGGGAGGGTGCCTGCGGCGGCAGGTGATCAGGTACTGGGGGTAGGCCTGGGTGTCGTTGAAGATGACAAAGATGTCGGGCTGCTGGGGGTTGTCCACAACGCTGTGGTAGCGCTGGGGGCCCTCGGCCCCCTCCCGCAGTGGGGGTGCCCGCAGCCCCTGCCGCCCGGCCGCAAACATCCCGGTCAGCACCTTGGCCACGAAGATGAACTTGGTGCCGTCGGCGCTGGGCGGCGAGTACTGATCCCGCGCCGAGATGGCCGCGCGCGCTGCGAAGTACACGCCGCGGCCGTACAGCGTGGCTGCGGGGACAGGGCTCAGCGGGGGCACCGGGGCCGTGTGCTGGCAGTGCCGGGCACAGAGCGGCACCCCGCTTCAGCAGCGATGGCACCGTGACCACTTTGGCCCTGCATTCCAATTCCCATGCTGATGGCACCGTGCCCCCATGATCACCCCATTCCTGCGCCAATGGCACCGTGCCCGCCTCAGCACTCTGCTCCCATGCCAATGGCACCGTGCCCCCATTGTCACCCTGTTTCCATGCTGTGTCCCATTCCCACACCGATGTCACCATGCCTGGATCAGCACTCCATTCCCATGCCAACGGTGCCTGTGCCCTATTCCCATGCCGTCAGCACCATGTCCACACTGGCACTCTGTTCTCATGCCAATGGCACTGTGCCCCCCTTGGTGCCCTGTTCTCATGCTGATGGCACTGTTTCCACCTTGGTGCCCCATTCCCATGCTGACACCGCCACACCCACATCAGCATCCTGTTCCCATGCTGATGGTCCCCTTTGGCACTGTTCCCACACCAAGGACACTGTGCCCACATCGTCATCCCGCATCTGCCCAGTGCTCACCGTTCTTGCCGCAGAAGCTGCGGTTGAAGCCGTGCAGGCAGATTTCACGGCTGGAGGCCTTGGTGGTGCCGTGGAAGAGGACGCGCTCCGCGGCGGTGCCAGCGGCACACGCCCGCTCCACGCTGCCCTTCTTCAGCTGGTACTGCTTGTACAGCAGTGGGTGGATCAGCTTCTGCACCTGCCAGGCACCACAGCGTCATTGCTCTGCCATGGGGGCACCCCGAGGGGTCCGGTGATCCCAGACCCACCTGCACGATGCTGATCTGGCTGTGCAGCTCCTCCAGTGTCCCGTAGAAATGGTGAACAGTGTCAGTGAACTCCTCCGAGTCCTCGGCCAGTGGCATCAGCCGCACCTCCTCCTCCAGCCCTGGCACCTCCAGCCCTGCTGGACACAGCCACAGTGAACACGGGCACAGCACAGGACAGGCCCGGCCCCACAGCACCAGCACGTACCGAGCAGGCAGCGGGCACTCTCAGCTGGGGGCTGGCTGCGGCAGACAGGCACGGCACGGGCGCTGCCGATGTCGTACTCCTCCATGCGCTCCAAGTCCACAGTGAGGGGCCGCCCGTCCAGCACCAGGTCCAGCCGGCGCTCCCGGCGCAGCCAGGCCTGCTCCAGCAGCGCTGCTGCCTCAGGGGCGTAGGGGACGACAGTGCCGGAGGGGTCCCAGCGCACCCAGTGTGCGGCAGCAGTGCTGGCAGCGGTGACAGCAGCGGCACTGAGCTCCGGCAGCGGCCGGCGCCGCAGCAGCATGGCGAGGTCGTGGGCAGCAGAGGCCACATACTCGGCGAAGCCGTGCAGCGTGGCGGTGCCGCCGCGCAGGCTGAGGTGCACGGCGTGCCGGCGCTGCAGCAGGGCCAGTGCCTGGTGGCCGGCGGCCGGCAGCGCCCGCAGCCGCTCACTCTCCACCTCCTGCGCCCGCAGCCGCCCCGCCAGCGCCCGCTCCAGCTCCTGCGGCACCTCCGACACGTCCCGCTCAAAGGAGCAGAACACTGTCACCTGCGCCGTGTCTGCTGCCACCAGTGCCTCCTCCAGCGAGGCCTCCAGCGCGGCCAGCAGCCCAGCATCCTCCTCCACCTGCTCCCGCTCCCGGCAGTAGGAGCGCAGGGAGAGAGCGGTGGCGCGTGCCAGCTCCTCATCCTCACGCCTCATGTTTTCCATGGAATACTGGATAGCCAGAGCCATCTCCGCCTCCTCCTCCACCCCAGTGCCCAACAGCGGCTCCCCGGCACCCTTCCCATCAGCCGTGTCGGGGAACTTGGCATCAGGGTCCCACTCACTGCCGAGGATGGCATCAGGCCACACCTTGGGGTCCCCATGGTCGTCAGCCTCGCCAGGGCGCAGCGCTGCCAGCAGCTCCCTGATCTCCTCTGTGGGAGCAGCAGGACATCAACCATGAGACCCCACCACGGCCTGGAGAAGAACCAGCATCCACGGCCCCCTCACCCCACCATGGCACCGAGAGAGTGGGCACCAGAGCAGTGCCTCGCCCCTCACCTATGCTGGAGTGAAAGCCATCACTGTCATCATCAGCAGCATCATCATCACCCTCAGGCAGGTCCTGGTGCCAGGGGTGTGGTGCTGAGGGCTGGGGGTCCCAATGGCGGCTCAGGGGCAGCAGCTCCTCCAGCTCCTGCTTCGGGGACCAAGGGATGGCATCACCGGCACTGCTATGGCATAGCAGGGACCGGCACAACAGCACCCGCCTGCCAGCCCCCTCCCCACGAGGCTGCACCTGCGGGTCTGGGGGTCTCCAGGGGACGCCATCCAGGTGGATGACACACTGGAAGCGGCTCTCCAGCTGCTGGAGGAGGCTCTGCCCGTCCAGGTCCCGCAGGAAGCGGGCAACACCAGGGAAGTGCAGCGTCACGGGGTGCGAGGCCACGGAGCCCAGCAGGCTCTGAAGGAAATCTGCTGCTGCCTGGCACCGGCCCAGCTCCCCACTCACCTGCCGGGAGGTGATCAGAAGGGTGGGGTGTCAGCACCTGGGCACTGGCACCTGGCTGGCTCCCCACCCACCAGCCAGCAGTGCAGGCAGTGCAGTTATCACCACGGGGCCAGCAGCCACTGCCAGAACGTGCCATGAGCACGGGGAGGTGGGAGCACAGCACAGAGCCCTGCCCACACCACACCTGCACCCCTGCCCACACCTGCCCATACCCCTGTCCAGATCCCTGCTTGCAGCTCACCCGGAACCCAGCGATGTCCCCTCCCTCCAGAGGCAGCAGGGACACCTCAGGGATGCTGCCCAGCAGGTCCTGGTAGTGCCGCTGTAGGTACTGCAGTGCTCCCGGCTCCGCTGGCACCAGCACCTCATCCTGCGCCAGCAGAGCTGGCACCAGCACCGATGTCACCACTGACTCTGGGGCCACCACTGACACCCGCTCCAGGCACTGGCCCTGGTTGGTCACGGCCTCGAGCCCCTCTGTGTCCTTGTCCCTGCTGGGGAAGGCAGCCAATGGCTGCACTGGCACTGGGTGCGATGCCCGCGGCTCTGCCGGTGCTGCCAGCTCTGGGACGGCGGGGGCTGTGTCCGGTGCAGGGTCTGTGTCCGGCAGGGAATCTGTGTCCAGCAGAGGGGCTGTGTCCAGAGGGGGGGCTGTGTCCAGGGGGTGGGGGTCCACATCCAGGGGAGGGTCTCCGTCCTCCTCCAGTGGCTCCAGGAAGGGATAGTGGGGGGTGAGCTCCAGCACCGCATCCTGCAGCCGGTGTGGCCTCTGCAGCACCCGCTCCGCGGCTGCAGGGGGACGGATAGATGGGCAGCCAGCGGCCCAGCCAGGCCCCTCGGCTCCCCCTGGCACCAGAGGAGGTCCCTGCCGGCTCACCTGCCAGCTCCTGGAAGGTGACAATGGCCCGGTGCCCGCCCGGCAGCAGCTGCACCTCCTGCACGGAGCCGCCGCCACTGCGTCGGTTCTCGAAGTAGAGCTCGAGCAGGTCCCGGCTCAGCGCCGGCCCCGCCGCCCGCACCAGCACCGCGGGGGTCTGTGGCACCCGCAGCAGCGCCAGCCCCCGGCTCTGCGCCCGCTGCTCCGCCGACGCCAGCTCTGCAGCACGGGCGGCGCTGGCACCACGGGACAACGGGGACCCCGCGGCGGTGCCACCGCCCCCACGGCAGCATCTGGGCGCTGGGTGCCCCGTGGACCCCACACCCTAAAATACCACCCTGGTGCTCTCAGATCCCCAGCCCATCGCCCCCCTGCCCGCCAGTACTCCCACCCCATTGCATCCCCAGCCTCCCGGCACCCTCACCCCATTGCCCCCCACTCTCTGGCAACCCCGCCCTGTCACCTTGGCCCTCCATGCGCCCACCCCCGGCATGCCCACCCCATTACCCTCCCAAGCCCTGGTGCCCCCCACGGTCTCCGGTCCCACCTGGGGGGGTGAGGGGGTCCCGCAGGTGCAGCAGCCTCCAGTCGGGTGCGGGGCCCCGGCACAGCGTGACAGTGCCAGGGGAGACGTCCAGCAGGGTCTCCAGGAGGAGGTCCAGGAGCTCGGGAGGGGTCCAGGGGTCGAGGCCACGCAGCAGCAGGCGGGTGGGGTCCCACGGGGGGGCTAGGCACACCCCCAGCTTGGCCCCCCCCAGCTGGTGGCTGCCACGGGTCAGCACGTTCTGTGCATCTGGGAGGGAACGTGGGGGTCACTGGGCTGGAGGGGCATCACCGGAGCCCACCCAGCACCCCCCACCTCCCAGACCCTGGGGACACAGCACTGCTCACCAGTGCTCCCAGTGGGACTGAGACCCCCCAAATCCCATCCCAGTGCCCCCAGTGGGGCTGGGACCCCCAAACACAATCCCAAAGCTCCCAGTAGGGCTGAAATCCCCCACACCCCATCTCAGTGCTGCCGACTGGGACTGGGACTGCCAAACACCCAATCCCAGTGCTCCCAGCTGGGACTAGGACTCCTCATAGACCCCATCCCAGAGCTCTCAGTTGGGACTGCGAATCCCCCACAGCCCATCCCAGTGCTTCCAACTGGGTCTGGAACCCCCCACCCCATCCCAGTGCTCCCAGTTAGGACTGGGACCCTCCCCCACCCCATCCCAGTGCTCCCACTCAGAACTGTGACACCCACACACCCCATCCCAGTGTTCCCAATTGGGATTGTGACCCCTCAGATCCCGTCCCAGTGCTCCCATTTGGTACTGACTCCCCACACCCCATCTGAGCGCTCCCAGTTAGAACTGGGACCCTCCCCGCACTTACCCTGGGGGTCCTCGAAGGTGAGGAAGAAGAGGGGGCCGAGGCGCTGGCAGCTCTGCACAGGGCCACCCCCGGAGCGCCGCTGGCTCTCGAAGTACAGGACTAGCAGCTCCTCTGGGGTGTCAGGGGGGACCCCCCGCACCTCCAGCACCCCTCGCGCCATCCTGGGGCACCCACACATTGGGGGGAGCTGCCCAGTGCCAGCACCCCCAGGGGGAGCACCTGCAATTCAGCCCCCCTGTCTCGGGGCACCCACACATTGAGGGGACCCCCTGCACCTCCAGCACCCCCCCCCCGTCACCCTGGGCCACCCACACACTGGGGGGGCGAGATGGAATCCCCTTCAGCTCCTCTACCCACCAGGTTCCTGCTCCCCCCAGCACCGGTGTGACCCCCGGACCAAGGACACCCCCTGCACCCACGCGTGACCTCAACCCCTCCCCAAACCCCACATCCGCATCCCCCCCCCGCACCTCCGTACCGAGGACCCCCCCAGCCCTGCACCCCCCGGGCAGAGCCCCCCCATAGCCCTGGACACCCCTCGCGGCCCCGGGCAGGACCCCCCCCACCTCTCCGAGGGCAGGAACCCTCCCCACGCCCCCGGGGCAGGACCCCCTCCACGCACCGGACGCCGCGCGGCTCCGCCCCGGCAGCGAAACGAAACTGAAACGGGGCGGGAAGGGGAAGGGGAAGGGCGGGGGGTGGGAACGGGGTGGGGACACGGGGCCGGACCCACGCGGGACGCGGGGACACGTGGCCGTCCCCCGCGCCTGACCAGCGGGCACGGGACCGGCCCCACGCGTCATAACGGGACACTGGACTTGTCCGATGCGTGACAGGGGGAACGTGGAACCGGCCCCACGCGTGACGGGGGGACACGGGACCGGTCCCAAGTATAACATGGTGACGCATTACCGGCCCCACGCGTGACCGGGGGACACAAGACCACCCCTCGCGCGACAGGGGGACACGAGACCACCCCCGTGCGTGCCCTGGGAACACGGGAACAGTCCCACTCGGGACACGGGGACACGGGACCGGCCCCACAGATGACATGGAAACACAGAACCAGCCCCAGATATTACCAGATGACACGTGACCATCACCTGCACGCGACCACGGGACGGGGAACTGGCCCCAGACGCGACCATGGGGCACGGAACCGGCCCCACGCGTGACACAAGGACACGGAACTGACCCCAAACGGGACCAGGGAACATGGGAACCGCCCCACGGCTGACTTGGGTACACGGGGCCATGCCCAAGAGTGACACAGGGATACGTGACCAGCCCCACGGGTCACCAGAGGACACCGGAACAGCTCCCGCGTGCAACCGGGAGACACGTGACCGACCCCACGCGTGACCAGGGGACACGTGACCGACCCCAGGGGTGCCCAGGGGACCTCGGACCGGCCCCACGCGCAACCGGGAGACACGTGACAGACCCCACGCGTGACCAGGGGACACGTGACCGACCCCAGGGGTGCCCAGGGGACCTCGGACCGGCCCCACGCGTGACCGGGGGACACGTAACCGGCCCCAGGGGTGCCCAGGGGACCTCTGACCGGCCCCACGCGTGACCGGGGGACACGTGACGGGCCTCAGGATTCTCCAGGGGACCTCGGACCGGCCCCACGCGTGACCGGGGGACACGTGACCGGCCCCAGGGGTGCCCAGGGGACCCCGGACCTGCCCCACGCGTGACCGGGGGACACGTGACGGGCCTCAGGATTCTCCAGGGGACCTCGGACCGGCCCCACGCGGGACACGGCGGGGTGGAGCGGGTGACGCGGCTCCGCCGCCACAGGGGGGCGCTCTGCCGCGAGGCCCCGCCCCTCCCGCGGGTCACGCCCCCACATGCCACGCCCCCTCCAAGCCCCGCCCCCAGCCTACGCGGGGAGCGGCAGGTCCAGCGCAGCTGCTGCCCCGCCCCTCTCCAGGCCCCGCCCCGCCTTGGCCCCGCCCCCCGGCGCGCAGCGAGCGGACCCCGCGCAGCTCGGCCCGGCCGGTGAGCGGGGGGCGCGGGGGGTCCCGGGGCTCTGGCGGGGGGGCGGGCGGTGGGAGGGGGCGCGGAGACCCCGGCGCCGCCCCCGAGCGCGGGTCTCTGCTGCCGCCCCGCGCTGCCGCATTACGCAGCGCACGGGTTCCGTGCGGGGAGCGGAGGGGGGGCCGGGGGTTGTAACAGGAGGGGGGAGCGCGGCCGAGGGGGACCCCGCGAGCGCGGACACGGGGGAAGGGTCCCCTGGGAGCCCCCCCGCGGCAGCGCTCGGGGATTAGGCTCGCTGCTGCCGTAAATAGGCCGTGCCGGGGCTTTACCGAGCGTCAGGGCAAAGCGGCTTACGGGGCTCCGGGAGAACCGGCGGGGGGGCGGGCGGCGGCACCCCCGCAACCCGTGATGCGGGAGCACCTGCACCCCCGCCCGCCTCCACCTCCCGCAGCCCGTGCTGCGGGCACCCCCACAACCCTCGCTGCATGCCCCGTAGCCCCTGCTGCGGGCACCTCTGCACCCCTGGAACCCCCTACACCCCCTGCTGCGGGCACCCCCGCAATTCGTGCTGCGGGCACCACTGCACCTCCCGCACCCCCGGCACGCCTCGCAACCCGTGATGCGGCCACCCTTGCACGCCGTGCCCCCTGTACACCGTGCCCCTCGCGTTCCCGCAACCCGTGATGTAAACACCCCCTGCACCTACGGTACCCTGTACTGCGGGCCCCCGCACCCTGTGCCTCCCCCAACACGAGCTGCGGACACCCCTGAACCCCCCGCACCGCATGCAGCGTACTCCCCATAGCGCCTGCACCCCGTGCCCCCCGTGCAGGGTGCCCCCCGTACCCGCCACATGCGCCTCCTGCCCCCTGTTCAGGGTGCCCCCCGTACACCCCCGCCTCACGGGGGAGCCCCCCGTGCCCCCCACACACCGTGCCCCCCGGGGGAGCCGCCCAGGCCCACTGTGCCCCCGGTGCCGCCCCCGCGGTGCCGCAGGGCCGAGCCCCCCCCGTCCCCCGCCGCCCGCCCGGGGCGCGGGGCCGTCACGCGGCGGCTGCGGTTGGCGCTGCCCGTTGGCCGGGCCCGGGGCCCTGCGGCAGCGCACGGCCCCGCACCGGCACCGTGACAGCAGCGGCACCGCACGGGCCCGGTACCGCCGACTGCCAGGCCGCGGCACCGCACCGGTACCGCACCGGCGAGTGCGCGGTCCCTGCTCAGGGCGCAGCCGCCGCTCCCGCACTGCCCGGTTTTGTAACCGGGCCCCGGGAGCGGGGGCGGCCCCGGGGCTGCAGCGCGGACCCCGCCCGGCCTCGATGAACGTGGGGCTGGGGCGGGGGCTGGCCGGACCCCGCACATCGCCGCTCCCCGTCCGAGGGGATGTTGCCATGGCAACGGCCCCGCCGCCATCTTGTGCGGGCCCGGGGTGGAGGGGGCCGGGACGTGCCCCCCATCCCGGCAGTGCTGGGGACAGGGACTCGCTCCCACATTGTTGTGCTGAACTGGCTGGGGACCCCCAGGGCTGCCTGAAGGGCGAGTTGAGGGTCGGGGGTGGGGGGGGGTGTGATTATGAAAGGGGGTGACAGCCATGGGGGGGTAATGGAGAGGGGGTAATGGCCATTGGGGGTGACAGCCATGAGGGGCTTATGGCCGTGGGCATGATGAGGAGGGGGGTGGCGGCTATGGGGGGGTGGTGCCAGGGGGGTGGTGATGAGGAGGGGGGTGATAGCTTTGGGGGTTTGGTGTCTGTAGGGGAGTGATGGGGAGGGGGGTGATGGCCATAGGGAGGTGATGGCGAGGGGGGTGATGGACGTGTGGGGGTGATGGGGAGGGGGTGATGGCCATAGGGAGGTGATGGCTGAGGGGGGTGATGGGGGGAGGTGATGGTTGTGGGGAAATGATAGCTGTGGGGGGGTGATGACTGTGAGGCGTGATGAGAAGGACAGTGACAGCCACGGGGGATGATGACACCGACTCTGACCCCCTCTCCTCCCCCCCACAGCACAAAGGCGGCCGCAGCCTGCGGGACAAGATGTCCCACGAGAAGAGTTTCCTGGTGACGAGTGACGGCTTCGCGGGGCAGCAGCCGACGGCCCCCCCAGCCTACGCGCAGCCCCCCTACCCCGTCGCCCCATACCCCCAGCCCCAGTTCGCCCCCGCGCCCTACCCCCAGCCAGGCTTCACGCAGGGGCCGGGGCCGTATCCGCCGCCGGGGCCGTACCCCCCCGCCGGGCCGTACCCCACCGGGCCGTACCCACCACCTGGGCCGTACCCCCAGGGCCCCTACGGGCAGCCGCCCTATGCCCAGCCCCAACCCATGGTCCCCGGCGACCAGGACTGTAAGTACCAGGGAAGGGGGGGGGCAGGGGGTACGCTCCAGGCTGGGCAGCTCCAAATGGGTGTGTGGCCACCCTGGCTCCCGCCTGGGGGCTCCCAATGGGTGTACAATGTGGGGTGTCCCAGTGGGGTGTATGACCCCCATTTGGATTCCCTGTGGGGTGCTCCCAGGGGGGTGTACAGCTGCCCCAACTCCTTGCTGGGGGGCTCTGAATGGGCTGTACAACCCTCCCCCCTGGCTCCTGTTGGAGTTTGGGGGCTCCAGGTGTAGGGAGCAGCCCCCTGCTTTAGGCACTGATGGCAGGCCTGGGGGGCTCCCCTGCAGGGGGGCCCATTTTGGCAGCGCTGTTCCTGTTGTGGCCCAGCTGTGTGGACGGTGAGGGTGGGTTTGGCAGGTCACACAGCTCAGGGGTCCTGAGTGGGGCAACAGGGACCCCCCGTGGATCCTGGCTCCTGCCCCACATGTACTGGGGGGCACTTGGGGTGGGCCCTGCCCACCGGGGACGGTGCTGGCCATGACCATGGGTGGGGGGACACTGCCCAGAGCCATGTCAGCTGTGACACCTGGCTTTGGGGGGCAGGGAGCCCTGCTCCCCATGGCCCCTGGGATGCCCCTGGGACCTCCAGCCCTACCCACTCAGTGATGTCCCCCCTCCCCACAGCCCCCCTGCACAGCACCTACCACGAGGACGGGCCCCCCTCCTACTATGACAACCAGGACTTCCCATCGGCGCACTGGGATGACAAGAGCATCCGACAGGCCTTCATCCGCAAGGTGGGACACGGGGGGCTCTGGGGGGAGCACGGGGCGGTGGGGGCCCCCTGTGACCTGCCCCTGTCCCCAGGTGTTCCTGGTGCTCACGCTGCAGCTGACCGTCACCTTCGCCTTTGTGACCGTCTTCACCTTCGTCAAAGGTGTGCGGGGCTTCGTGCAGCGCAACGTGTGGACGTACTACGTGTCCTACGCCGTGTTCTTCATCTCCCTCATCGTCCTCAGCTGCTGCGGCGACTTCCGCCGCAAGCACCCCTGGA